AAATTCACGCCTGCGAATAAATTCGAAAAAATATACTAACCACATAAATCGAAAAGCATCGTATGAACATATCCAAAAAAAACCTTTAATTTCACTTTTTCTACTCCTCCCTCACCCAGTTGATTGGCGATTCACACGAGGCAACAAAACCATACGTTCTCGCTTCTTCCTCAAACTTCGCCTCAGTGCTTCCTTCTCACGCAACAATACGTCTCGTACTAGACTGCGCACAACGCTATGCACAGCTTCTTCGTCTGTTTCCAAAACTTCTGATGAACTTAGCGCAATGTTTGATGAACTCCTGCAAGAAAAAAGTTTGCTTTTTTTTATAAATACCAATAAAGCAGACAGGCTAAATCGAACTCTAGGAATCATACCTCTCGCGACAGCGATCTCTTTATATTAACATGCTTATATTTCGGCGCGACTACTGATGTCACTTGTTCCTTGATTTCCTGGCGATATGTACCAGTATTCACGTCAGTTTTGCAAATAATAGTACGTATCAGAGCTACATTTTATACGACAATCCCGTTTTTTTTAAAAAAGTAAATAAAGTTTACCTAGGAAGCGAAGAAGTTGTGGAGCATACAGGAGAGCAGGTAACACTGGCAACTGAAGTACCAAGTAAGACCATTTTGCAACTGCAAGTATTACTGCTCTTTTCCACCTAGAAAAACACATATTTTTGCATGAAGTAATTGTGGCCTCAACAGTTCAATAATTCATAAAATGGAATTTTCTAAAGTGCACTTTTATTTTACGTTGTTACTGTGATCTCGAAGAAACTCCGACTTTCTCTCCGAAAATATATTAAACTGGAAGTGTAAGACGCTTACATTCGCATAAGAGCAAGGAAGACAGCAATTTGTGAATTCTGAAGATTGAATCTAATATGCAGCTTTTGTTGCCTATTACTAAGTGGCCCTCGATCAGTTCTTGATAGCACACAAGTAAATGATGCAACGATACATGATCAAGAAGGCATAATACGCCAGAAAAATCGCACCAACAAATAAATTACAGGATGGAGCAAATTATACTATGCTGTCAATAGCAAGATGGAATAAACTGTCTTTCTGAATATCCTAAATGATAAGTGCAAAACATGCTGGACAGCAAAGGGGGATGGAACGAAGGATTGTTGATGGTGCCTTAATGTTGCCATACTTAGCTTCGAACTTAGATCAGGAGCCACTTCAGCGACAAGTACGCAGCGAATATTGTGACCGGAAAGGGGTGTTAAATATTCCAATCTATTTCTGCACTATTACCAGTGTATTACAGTTTATTTGTGTGGGAGTTCCCAACTTAATAAAACTCCGACTGAAGAGGTACTCCGACTACACTATTGGATGGTGATGATGCCAGTGAGCAGCGTTACGCAACAAATTATGCCAAATGACTGCTACACTAAATAATGTCGTGATTAATGAAAAGGGCAAAATCTGCTCGATAGGATGCTTGCTTTACATATAGCAAAAATCGGTACAAAGTACCCAAACACAGCAACAATCCAAGAAGTCAGGAGACAGAATGGAGCCTGTACCTGATAGAGAACCAAACTCAACAACATGGAAGGCATTGCATACATTTTCGTGAATTACCTTCATTAATGCTACCCGAATGTAAACACCTAGGAATGTGATAATATATATCTTTGTAGCGGATTCTGGCTGTCGAACGTCTACATAAATGTTTTCTTTTGTAATAGACAAAGAGAAATGTGCTCCGACGACTGATCACTTCTTTATCAACCAATTCTACATGCCAGTGAAGCCGGGATTTGCTTTCAACTCATTTTTTCCAGGCCTGACTACACTATCTACCAGGCCATCCAAGCCCGAAGACAATGTATCCCAACATCTGGTTGTAAACAACACCAGACTTCTGAAGTGTCTAGGCCCTTTCGGCTGCAATTACCAAAATATTGAGCTATGTGTTGCTGCTGCACACTACTGAACAGGTTTGATAAATCTGGAGGAAAAAGCTGGGCGACTTTCGGGACGTTTATACCTCTTGCATTTGTGACAAAAGGTTTCTTTTCTACTAAAGCGTAAAGAAGAAAGTGGTCGCCACATCCATCGCCAGAGTAACTCTCGTAAAGCAGCATGCAAAAGATTTAAAGTACCTCGTAAGCAACGTAGTTAATTATATCGCGCACCACTTCCCGCGCTACATCTTCAACGACTACTTCCTGTCGCTGCTGCTCACGATTAAGAGTAGCTGAATTTGCTTCACTGATAATTTCCAATTCTGTTGCCCCCTCCTCTTCCGTCCTCACGGATAACCCGGTAAAAGCAATTTGCCCTTTTGTCCATATGTTGCTTGAAGCACCTTCACCAACAGCACAACTTTCATCCCGCTTCAAATCAAATTCTTTCATCAGCGAATCTGCTACCTCTGTATGGCTCCTTACACCAACTGAAGATGAATGATTATATGGCAGTAAACATGTTGTAGGGTCAGTAAAGGCACCAGATTCGCCATAATTAGGACAAGAGTCGAAATCGTCTCCTGTATTCCCCAATACTGCAACACTATCAACAATTTTTCCTGCATCTTCAGCCACTGAGTTATCTTGCCTGATTCGATGGTTTTGAGAGGCCTGAGAGATCTGAAGTTTTTCACGATGGTCTTGAATCCGAACAGCAGCATCCCGAAATCGAAATTTCTGGCCGTCCTTTTCAACACCTACTGACCCCATATCCTTCGAAATGTCCAATACTCCTTTTGGCACAACTGACTCTTGTGCGGACGGAGCATTCACTACATGCTTGTCTTCTTTTACAACTAGCACTGCCTCGGATAAAAATCCAGGCTCCTGTACAACATTCGCAGAGCTTTCACTTAATGATCGTGTCACGGTCATGCAGTCATGCGATTTCGTTTTTTTCGCTTTCTGAGTCAGTGATCCAACCCGCTCAACCTGAAAAATTATACATCACAGCAGATGGTAGGGTAAAAAAGTTGCGGCTGAATTCCCGAAAAATATGGAATAAACCGCCGAAATAAACGACAGGGGCTGATGAAAGATGACCAGCAATGTGACAAACTCTGCAAATCTCGTGAATCTAAAAGGACACAAAATGCAAGTGTAAAAGCTTTATCCGGAATAACAAAATTGTGTGCGTCAAATTTCGCATGCCGGCACGTGCGATATAGCGCAGAAGGAGCAGGGAGGGGAATGAGAAGAAGGGAAGTGAAAACTCAATTCACTTCCAACAATACAAAAATGGACGATAAACACTACAGTTCTCTGCAGCTTTTACTCCTCATACTTCTCTTGTTGACATGGTGCCAGAAAAATTAAAAGGCTGGTGCGTACGCACATGAGATCTAAGAATGCGTGATAGCTGAATTCAAATTGTCTGGGTCGCAAACAGAGCAAGGAACATTTTCTAAAGTTTTAGGCCTCTGGCATGTCTGGTTCCCAAAATCGTTTTCCCACCAAAATATCTTTCACCTGACTGTACGCGAGAATTAGGTAGGTGTGAGCGTTCATTTTATGTCCAGGGACCCGACCACAATAGTAGAGTTGTTAAAATTTGGTAGAAACTGAAACTCGGTCTGACTCGACTCGGCCGGGTCCGTCCGTACACAATCTGCGGCCGATTTTTTCGGGTGACCTTACGTTGCTGCGGCACAGAACGGTGGATGCCGCAGACTGGGTAGTAGCGGAGGGAGGCTTTGTATGCGGGTCTCGGGCGCGGGGATTGGAAGTAGAGAGAGGAGGTTAACAAGATGGACTGAGCAGCAATGTGGCATAGACACGTAGGGGAGAGGGGGATGATGGGCGGAAAGGAGGAGGAACCGTACTGCTGGTTTTTGTCGCGGATACGCTAGGTACGGAAAAGGCTCGGGAGAGAGGTACCGCAAAGGGAAAAGTAGGGAAAGGAGGAGGGTTGGCGATGCATGAGCATATTTTTGAGTGTGGGATTCGAGACACGGGAAGGGAACTGGAATGAGTGGTGGGGGCAGTGGTGTGCGCGGATTTCGCGCGTGAGGATCCGAGGCAGGGAGAGGGGGTTGGGGTGGGTGAGTAGAAGGATCACTTCAAGCAGAACCCTTGGCAATTGTCTAGACTACGTAAGGGGGAGAGGAGGAAGTTATGGGTGGAAAGGAGGGAAGCAAAAAAAAGTAAAAGCAAGAAAAGCAAATGAAAGACTGCCATCAGTAGGAGACTTCCCCATCTATAAAGCTGATGCTTAGGTAAAGCTGCGAGCTCTCAGCTTTAACTAAGCATCAGCTTCCTAAACAAGCTTGTTTCATTCCTCTATCCTGTCCCCAAACCCCGCCCGTAGAGTGGTATCTGGATACTTATCTCACCCCCCCCCTCCTTCCTTCCCCCGCCCATCAACCGTCACCATCACTACCGTTTCTTACTGCTCACTAGTCCCCCTGTTCCTCTCCTCTATCATGCCTTAATCCATGCCCCTGAGCTGTATCCGAGCATCTACCAACCCTCCCCATACACGTGCAACCCCTTCCCCCACACCAATGCGCGCGACCTAACAGCCGAACGCCGGATATCACTACCCTCTGCACCTGGCAAAGTGGTAAGCCGCGTCGACAAGACTCGTCACGAAAGAGCTTTAGTAGAAATGCAGAGGAACAGCCGAGTCGAACCAAGTTTTAGTAACTGCCCAAAATTCCAACTTAAAATGTATCGTAGGTGTGAAGATGCAATCTTGTAAACGGCGTTACGCACGCATATAAACACTGATACACACACACACATGCACACACAAAAACATATATATATACATATATATATATATATATATAAATAAACATACAGATAAACTCTCTGCATTATGTGTTTCTTGCATTACATAGGTGCAAAAAACACATTAAAAACAGCGAAGTTACATCGTCCTGGCATTTTTTTGCGCAAGTCAAATTCCAAATGTGGAAGGCGTCAAAGAATCAGCACGACTGCGCGTTTTCGCTATCTGTATCAAAACAAGCAAAAAGAAGCTATCATTATGATAAATAAATGATCGACATCGAAGTTAAAAACACGCCTGAAGATGCAATTACGGTCAAACCACAGGTCAATAGATCGCGCATGTTCAGGCCTCCTATCTTTTACATGCAGTTTTAAACTGAAAGCGGTTAATTTCTTAACTTACATCGCTCAAATGTTATGTAATGTAAAACTGTATTTTGAATCAAGACCATACACACCAGAGGGCGATACTGATGTAATTTCTTGAGTTATGAAGTACGCGACAAAGATAACTACTAAAATTCAACCTGCTTAGCTCGGCCGGACTGGAGGGGCAACTTGTAATAGCTGCGGCCGCGAGGGAAAGAGCAATGAAGGAAAGGGGGGGGGGGCGTGGAGAAGCCATTACGAGGCCTTTTATAACCAGTACGAAAATAAGTAATGAGTGGAAGTTCAGAGCTCAATGTGCACCCATAGGAGGCGAACTTTTATGGTGATGACCCTTGCTCATGTACGACACCGCAAATTCAGATTCAACCTCTCGTGCACCCGGCTATCACGTACGGTTCTGTGAGAATTTTGACAAGGAAATTATCCCAGGAGCCACGGAAGCTAGAAAGATGAAATTTTACGGTGATTTCCTTTACCCACGTACGACCCCGCAAGTTTAAATTTAACCTTTCCCACTGCCTGGGTTCATGTACAGGCCGTGAAAGTTTTGTCGGGAAGATTATCTCGTGAACCACAAAAGCTAGGAGGTTGAAACTTTGGGGTAATGCTCCTGCTACATATGACCTCGCAAAATTCAAATTCAGCTTTCGCGCATGCCTGGGTCTCAACTTCCCCATGAAAGTTTTGGAGGGGGAAATTATTATCTCGGGAGTCAAAATGGCTAGAGGGCTGAAAATTTTAGGAGGACGTTTTCTGCTTATGCAAAGGTCTCGCAAACTCAAATTTAGTTCCTAATTATACCGAGGTTTGATCTACGACCAAGTAAAAGCTTTGGTGACAAAAGCACTCGAAAGCCAGAAAGTTAGAAGATTGAAATTTTGGAACATTGTTAACCACCCAAGGTCTCGAATTCAGCTCCCACGTGTCGGCACGTGAAGTTTTAGCCGGACATTTCACAACTTCAACTAATTTTGCACAAACCAAAGTGTAAAGCAGTGAAAATCTTTAGTAGGCAGACGTACGCTAGACAGAACTGCGCAAAACGCACGGCTGTACCAACTATCCTTGTGCGTGCCGTTATTGTTATGCGTTTTTTGCAGCTAAGCAATGCAGAAACGCATAATGATAAGAGATTGTCTGTGTGTGTTTGTGTGTCTATTTGTGTGCTGTGCGTCTGTACCGATTTTTCATCTCGACACCCACAAAAGCTACCGGGCTGAAACTTGGGGAAGTTAATCTACATGCGTATACGGGCCCCCATCTTCGGAACGGGCGCTCTTACCCGCATGGTGCCCACGTACGGGTCCGCGAGTGCTTTTCGCGGGTAAGTCGCTAACTCGAGAATCAGCAAACCCAGAAAGCTGAAATCTTACAGGGACGTTCCCTGCCCACATAAGTCAGTGAGCTCCAAACCAGTCTCCGGCTACATGTGGTATTCACGTACGAGTCCGTGAAAGTTTTTCGCGGGAAAGTCGCGAACTCGGAAATCAGAAAAGCCAGAAAGCCGAAATTTTACGGAGACATTACCTGCCTACGTAAACCTCAACGAGCTCAAACCTAGACAATGGGTATGCGTGGCACCTACATACGAGCCCGTGAAATTTTTTCGCGGGAATGTCGCTAACTCGAGAACCTGAAGAACTAGAAGACTGCAATTTTAAGGGATGTTCCCCGTTCACGTATGTCTTAACGGGCTCAAACCCAGGCGTCAGACATGCGTGGTACCCACCTGCGGGACCGTGGAAGTTTTTTTCGAGTATGCTGCTAACTCAGGAGCTAGGAAAATTAGAAAGCTGAAATTTTAAGGGGGTGTTTCCTGACAGTCCTGGCGGCCAGTCTTAGTTTGTTTAGCTAGAAACATCTGCCGGAAAAACCGATGCCGGTAGCGACAAAAACTGCAGGGAACTATGCAAAAAACGCATCTTCGTACGGGCAGCCCGTGCGTTGGCCAATTATTTGCTGCAATACAAAAACGCAAACTGTCGAGTTGTCTGTGCGTGCGTGTGTATTTGTTCGTCTGCACCGATTTTTCATTTCAAGACCTAAAAAAACTACAGGGCTGAAACTCTGAACTTAATCTACATGAACGTGCGGGCCCCCAACCCCAAAATGGGCACTTTTATCCACGTGGTACTCACGGACGAGCTCCCCGAAGCTATTGGCAGATAAGCTGCTAATTCCGGAACCAGAATAGTTAGAAAGCTGAAATTTTAAGGGAATGTTCTTCGCCCACGTAGGATTTAATGATTTCAAATCCAACGTCCAGGTATGCCTGGTTTCCACTGTTCCCCCATGAAAGTTTTTTATGGGTAAGTTGATAATTCAGGAAACTGAAAAGCTAGAAGAATGGAATTTTAAGAGGAAGTTCCCCATCCACGCTGGTCTTAAACAGTTCCAACCCGTCACCCAAGTATCCGTAACTCCCACGTACGGGCCGTGAAAATTTTTGGCAAGTAAGTTCCAAACTCGGGAGCCAGAAAAGTTAGAAAGTTGGAACTTTAATGAGGTTTGCCCGGCCCACGTAGAACTTAATGACTTCAAACTCTGCTCCCAGTTATGCGTGGTTCTAATGTACGGGCCAGCGAAAATTTTTGACGGTAGGTTTTCAACTCGGGAACCAGAAAAGCTAGAAAGCTCAAATTTTAAGGGGATGTTTCGTAACAGTCCTAGCGGCCAGTCTCAGTTCGCTTAGCTGGAAGCACCTGTCGCGAAAACCGGTGCTGTTAGCAACAAAAGTCTGCGTGGCGACTGTGCAAAAAATGCATCTTCGCACTGGCAGTCGGTGCGCTGGCAATTATTTCTTTTTGTTTCGGTAAAATTCTAGGTCTTGTGTTCAAGGATGCTAAACACCCCTCATCAGTGTTTCACACCGAACGTAAAATACCCATAGGGCCATCCCTCATAAATCCCATCCCTGTTTTCAATTCCTACTTCCAACCAAGGTCTCGGGCCCTTCTTAGTTAATGCTCCCGCCTTCTTCCGTTACAACCCCAGAGTCTTAGAGTACCATCCCCCACCTCAAATGCTCTATTCTCTTCCCCCGCCCAGCCATCGACATTCACCTCCGACCCGGCCAAGCCGAGTTTTAGTAGTTGCAGGGAAGAATTAATCTCACTTACCTCGTCCTTCCAGTTAAAATTTGAGATGATTTTCTTACCGCTACCCTAACCACTCTGTTTGTCGCATTAACTATTTAACAACAACAGAATGATTTTGGACCTGAGACAGTGCAAAAAGGTATATAAATAGTTTAAGGCTCGTAATCTTCCTGCGCCTGGAATTTCAAGTTTTTCATTTCCATGTTTCTTAAATATTGGATTTCGAGATGCATGCGCTTACGTACATAATAAAAAGCTTGGGTCTGCCATATGCGCTTTCATCGAGCGCAAAAACACCAATAATTTATCTGCTTATTAAATCCTGATCAACAAAATACCTTAAATCGAGACCGAATTCGCGCAATATCTCGGGGATTTTCATCATTCAGACTCGATGCTGAAACGGTGAAGCGACGAGAAATCCCCGGAACCGATGGATTTATCGTTATAGCAGCATCTTCCCCACACGTTAACGTGGGCAGTGATGGACTCTTTGACAGTTCACCTGAATTTTATCTTGTTGAGAACTTTCGACTTCAGCAAAGTAGTATCACTCAAGCTCCAGCGCGAAAGGGAGTTGCACTACATTTATGCATTTTTGCTAAACGCTTTAACGCCTCATATAATTACATATAAAGTCCCCATCTTCAAACTTACCTGCCGCGAAGGTACAGCACGAAGAGAAACAAAGAAATTCTTCGGTGCAGAAAATGTACTCTGCACTTCAGTGGCTACTAATCTTTCCGCATCCATTCTAATGCTCCGGAGCTTACCTTATCCTGTAAACACTGATGGCAGTGAGTATGTAAAAAGTAACCTGATTTCAGGAAAATAACTGAGGAGAGGGATGACATACTGATTGGAAAGGAGCTGAGACCTTGCTTGAATGTAGGAAATGAAAACAAGTGTAGGGATTATAAGAGGGATTATACGAGTTTATGATGCTATGCAAGAAACTAGATGCTGAGAGCAAGTAGTAAATTTTTACTTGTAGACCAAAATCTCGCCGAAGGAAAACCCAGGCGGGCCGATGCGATCATGCGTTTTTGCACCTCTCGTGCCGTAGCAAGATCGCAAGGAATCACAGTAGTTAACCCTGCAAAGTACTGACCCTCGAAG